GGGGGGGGGAAGGTAATGGAATTTGATGTGGATTGGCAAACATGGAGGTGATAGAATGGCTGTTTACCATTTTCAACTATTTTTGCTAGAAATTTGATAGGTCCAATCTTAACTTGACCCATTTCATATGATCGATGTCCTTAAATGCATATCTTGCTATTTGAAAGTCAAATCGCACTAATAGAATCAATTATCTGAGTATCTCGATGCTACTTTTCCATGCTCCCCAATAAATGTGTCAACAATGCTTGCCTTGATAAGCCTTGGTAATTCTTTGCTTCTAGTTTTACCAATATAATTTTCCCAAGGACAATAGCGATTGCCAATTATTCGTCTTCGTTTTGTGCGCTTTTAGAGATGACTACACCAAAGTATGCATTCCCCCTATTTGATGAGTGTCCCTCGGCGTGCACAAACCACTGTGCTGAAAAAGCGGCCCTCAAAGCCGGCTACGAGGCCGCGAATACCGAATACGTTGACTACATGAAGCAAATGATTCAATCCCTTCTTAATAACCAAGTCAATCTCTCCGCTGCACTCGACGAAACACGTGAGGCCTGCGCTAAGCTCCATTTGGTGAGATTTTGTGGCATAAGGCAAATTTTTGTCGCTTTCAATAAATGAGAGATCATGACATTGTATTGAAGTCATGTGGATTCAAATATTCAAACTAAACTTCTCATTTATTACTGCAAAGTTTTGGGATCCATTCTTAAACTACAATACACAATACAAATGTGTTTTTCAACCTCGTCTTGAACTATTTCTGTTATACCTCGTACAGATGACCCAAATTAGCCACGTCTCTATTAAACCACCATCAGAATGTTGTGTCTCCATGTTCCAAATCAGATATTATGGGCCAAAATAATGCATTCAGATAAATATTTTTGGTCTAAAGTTGATTATTCTGTGCCCACGCTAAGAATTTATCGAATTGCCCTAGCGTTTAAGCACAATTTAAATGCTTTTTTCATTTGAAACAATTCTACTCGGCAGATCTTTGTTCTGAAATGCTGGTCAAAGTCAGTTTTAGGTTAATGCGGCCAGTAGAATATAGAGCTCTCAAAATAAAAGTGAAAAATTTTCCATATTATTGAAATTTTTCTGGAGGAAAATTATTAAAAGGCATCAAAACTTTTCTGTGTGGCTAGGAGTTTAGAGCACCTCAGTCGTTAGCTTTCTAAAAGAGATAACTGTTAATCGAAGTTTTGTAACAATTATCACATTTTCTCGCATTAACTACCCATAAATTTGTTAGATTTGGCACGTACTGCATTTGGTTCTCAGATTAACAAGATCAATTTTCTTCATGTTGTTTTGAGACTAATTAAACTAGCTCCCTGATTCATATTGTGTTTGGTTTGATTTTAAATCGTTTACGATTATTAGAAGGGGGAGGGAAGGATGGATATGTGCAATTAACATTTATGCCAAAAAAATATTTTTTGAAATTAAGACCTTTAATTTGAACATTTTTAGCTGAGCAAGTGAATTTCGTAGTACCTTATCAAATAATACATTGGAATTAATAAAATTTCAATTTTAATGAACGCATGTTAAAATTCTTCTTGTCATTTACAGTCTTCCACATCAATAATTAAATTGAACCACGGGTGTATTTGGCATTTGAAAATTGGCTGAAAGGAGAAAGATGCGAAATTAAGAAACTGTAAGAAACTGGAAGGACAATCTGCATTGTGTTAGGCAAACAAAATTCGTTCGGCCTTGAGGCGTCGGCTGTTTCATCTGTCTTAGCAGGATGCACAACCAATCAAAAAGCTTCACTGGCAATTGGGAATCGGTAAAAAATTGGGATAATGTAAGCCCGTGAAACAGGGATTTCAAACCCCAAGAGGTGAAGTTGATTCATGCATACACGAGTTAAAGCTTCGTCGTCAATAATATAGCTACGCTTATGAGATCAGAACACCTTTTTCTACGATGCCTTAAAAACTTGAATTTAAATTCCATGGAGGTCATAATTGTTTTTCGTTACCTTCAATGTATTTTATTTATAATTCTTAAGATGGCCCTAATTTTTCACCAATTTGGATAATGATTAAACAAGTATAAGCTTCTAACGAGTTTTGTATTCTACTGTCTATTCACTGTCCTTTTTTCTATGTGGTTAAGCAAAAATCAGAACTGGAAACCTCAAATACTCAGGAGGTCCAAGTACTGCAGGCGGAACTAAGCATGTGCCGCCAACGGGAGGCTGAAATAACCCTGGCTTACGAAGACCTACGTAGTCGAATCGAAGCAATCGACAGTGTCATAGAACAGGTAATCACATTGACTGCCAATTGATGATACTTGTGCTTAATTCAGCATTATGTGCACATTAATTGTGCGTTTAGTCATGCATTACTAATGATTGGCGGAATGGAAATGATTCACGCTATTAAATTACTGACTTGCAGATCCCGTGGCTTGATGTTCTCTTCAATTCCGACGAGCCTCTACATTCACGCCTAAAGGCCCTAAAAGGTGATTCTGAGGAGGCAGATGCAAATCCTCAACTATCTCAAACATCCTCAACAGTTCATTCTGTAAGTTATGATGAAAATGATGGGGATATTGATGAGGACGATGGAGAGGAAGATATTGATGCTGTTCGCAGCGAAATTATTTCTTCAAATCACCATAGAGTTCCACTCTCTGCTTGGAGAAGGGCTTCACAGCCAGTCAAACGCACAGGTAGTGCTTCTCCTCTGAGTGACAGTGGTTGTACTTCTGAGAGTCACGACGAGATTTCCTTGAACTCTCTTAACAGTGCTCACAGCAGTCCGCATCTTGTTGTCCTACGTGGAAGGCTAGAAGCACAGCAACAACAACAACAACAACAGCGACAAATGCAAAATGGAGTTAGAATGAGGAGGGGGCCACAGGAAGCATCATCTTTTGGAGGTGGATGGAGGCTAGGGAAAATTACGGAGTCCTTGAGATTGTCGATTTCAAAGTTCGCTGATAAGTCGGGGTGGAAAATGGAAGCCCTCGCAGCTAGACAAAGGGAAGCAAGGGCGCTGGTCCTTCTAAATGAGACACAAGCTGAGGTAATCAACTCAGGCTTTCAATACTTTATAGAATTTTACTCCATACGCATTATAAAATATAGACACTTGGGATGCATTACCTTTTCAAATATCCCCCCCCCCTCCTCTTCCTGGTTGGCATTAGCTTTTCGGCAGCAATTTGCTGGTTTTTCAGCCGCCGCCACCGCCCTGGAATCGCTTATCTTTTAGTCATTTCTATTTGGCAAAGTTTTACTAAAAGTTGAATGGGCGCTTAAGGAAGCGAAAAAAAACAATTCAAAAAGTACTTTGCATAATGAAGGACGGTGTATAGACGTCATAGCAGTGTTAGTGGACAGTAGATCCCTTGGAAGAGGGTGAAGTGGGTTACACTGGGAGGAACTGTTCGACCAAAGAAGAAAAAATCAATAAAATCTTAATGCGACAATCAGACCTTAATGACGTATGCATACTGCAATATTAACATTCCTCATTCTTCGATGAGAGCGGATTCATTTTATTCGTTGTGTATGGTCTGATCAAATATTAATATGAATTCTGCCAACTATTTCATATTCATCACGGCATTACTTGATCGTACGTCCTCCATTGTTCGTCTTAAGACAATGACATGTGCATCTGGTTTGCAGAAATATAGTGACCTAAGGCGCAATATTGATCTTAAGTAATTAAGTGATTATTGGGGTGTTCTAATGAATTGTTTATTTACGAATAGAAAGAAGCACTAATCTTGGCATTATTAATTGCGATGTTGTTTGAAAAAGGATTTCTCTGCACACAAATAAATATGTCGTCAATTTCTTTTCACTAATCATGGCAACTATTTTTCTTTTTATTATATCCAATCGTAATCAATGTCTTATTTTAGTCTTTTTAATATAGTATTACCACGAATAATCGATAATTTGTGGGGAGATTATATTGGCAACATTTGGTCACATTCAACTCTCTGATAGCAACATTTCTTGTTTATGTTCTAATTTAGAGTAACACTGCGTGTTCATCTTGTCCCCTTTCTATACATTGTTCCACTTACATTTCCTATATTTGCATTTAGAATAATCTATCACAAAATTATTGATTTTCTTAAAGGCTAACAGGGGTCAACCGCCAGAGATCCAGAAATCTCAAAATTACGAGTTAATTGAGATATAGACAGGAACTGGAAGATGAATGAGTAGAGTGAATTGGTAACTGAATATCAATGAAAGTGAAGGGCCTCAATAGCTCTTAAAAACAATGTTCTGACAAATTACTCCATACTGAGTGGAATTTAACGCCATCTTTCCAACAAATAGTTAATGAAGATGCATACAAAAGACAGATTGGATCTAGTGTTTTGGCTTCTCTTCCTGGGGTTCTCTCTTAAATCCTCTAACGTCCGAAGTATTTTGTGGAAAATGCACCCAAACGCACTCACGCGTATCTCACAGTAGACTGATGATACCGACATGGTGAGCTCTGGTCGTATCAGGCAAGGGCTATTGATGATTTGAACCTATTTCAAGCAGAAAAAGTGCCTCCAGTTAGGAGCCTAGTACCGATAGAGCTTATATGAAAGGGGAATTATAATAATAATGGCGTTGATTGGTTGAATCACCGATAGATTCATCATTCTCCTCTAAACGTTTTACAATAGTAGTCTTAATGAGTCAACTTTTTGTGTTTCAATAAACTTCATAAATCAAGACGCTTTATTCTGTGGCGTTTCACTTGTAGTTTCCTACTCGACCCTTCTTCAAGTTAAATGAAGAAATCTTTGTTTAAATAGACGTTCACTGGTGAAATGAAGGGAAAAAATCATGAAATTGACACTGTCAGTAAAGTGATTACACCCTAAATTGGCACAACGGGAAAACGTGTTAGGCAAAGTGACAAATCATCAGGTTATTAGCAAGAGTCAATTGAGCCAAGGAGGTGTAACTAAAGGATTTAGAAAATGTGCTTAAGTAAGGGAAGGAAAGCGAATCACAGTGGAAAATGCATTTTATAATATTGCCTTACCTTAATCGGGGTGTGCGATAGACTTACCTCCACGTGGTGCACCCTGGGCAACGTATACTCATACGGCAAAAAAGTCTATTAACCGACAGTTGACCTCTGACTTCAAACTACCCCGACCGCCCTGGTTGTCATATTCGACCCCTTCTACTGTACTCACCTTACCTTTTTCTCTACCTTTGTGTCTGTCTGCCTCTTTTACATCTGTGAATCGCTCTTCCCCACCCCTCGACTTTCTGCTACTTTGATGAACCTTCCCTCTGTGAAGCCCGAAGTCAGCAAAAGGGCTAACGATAAGTGTCATAAAGCCCGCCATTTGAAATAAATAAATATTACCTTAATCTCTCATTAGACGCCAGTTTCCTCCTACTCATATCGACTTACGATTTGGTGCTTCTTAATGTGAAATTTTTTCGTAAAAATCGTCATGCTGTGCAAATAAGGTTATATAAGTGAATCGCTCGTTTTTTAGGGTTGCGATGGGGTTTCCAAGACAATCTTTTTTTACAAAAATAGGTTGTTTTCGTGAAAGCTATGCACTCATTTATTGAGTGCTTCAAACCGAGGATATTATCAGCTTCGAATTGAAGTCAATGCAAAATATCGATAAAGCAAATTATGATTAAGAATTAATTATTTCATTGTCATATTTTACAGTGGATCATTTCTTTTCTTTATAAAGCAAGGTTGGAAAAAAACCACAGTCATTCTATAAATTCAGGTGAAGCTGAATTCGAAAAATGACCTGAAGTGCAGGCTTTCACTTTGTTATTTTAAAATTTTCCTCATGACTCAAAATTGAAAGCAAAAAAAATCAAATTAATGAATGACTGGAAGTAGTTTGGCTACTTACCTCACAGTTTGTAGTGAATGAAATTTTTATTTATTTATATCAAATGGCAGGCATTATGATAGTTA